GGCCGGGCGCGAGCGGGCGGGGGTGGCCTGCGCGGGGAGCTGTGACAGAGGCTGGGAGGGGTGGGGGACGTTTAAAAATCTTAACCTTCGCGGGAAGGGACCGTCTCGGGATTCAGAAGTTACAGCCCAAGCGGGAGCCGCTGGGTTGGAGGGAGGTACAGGAGGTGGGGGACAAGGGTGGAGACCGACGACTGCAGTTTACCGATGTCATAACAACATGGGCCTGTAGTGGCTGACAGGGGTGTGGTAATTATAGGAATGACAGAACTTCGTCTGCACACAGAGTGTGTAAGTGGTGATTCCCGGGAAACAGCGGAGTATTAAGCTCAAAATGGGAGAAAACTGAAGGATTACTGGAGTCAGGGAAGTCGTCGTGAAGGAATGTTTCAGGTTCCAATGAAAGTATTTAATGTTCCACTTTTAAGTGGAAGATGCCACAATAATTGATTTTTAAGGTTTAAATTTAGAATAAACAATTTTGAAGCATTTTTCTAAAACACTATTAAATAATATTGCTAACTTTTTCAATCCTTTTTCTTTAAAAAGTTTCTTCAAAATCTCTGTTTCTTAGCAGTAGATGAATGACTTTTTCCTCCCTCTTGTTGCTTCAAATCTCATTCTTGACATTGTTTTTTCCTTAACTTGTTCTTGCATTTGTAATATTTTGGAAGTAATTCACAAGTTATCCCCCCTCCATTTTAAAAATTGAAGAGATGAAATTTTAACTTTTCAAAGGAAAGTGAGAATGAACTGTATTTTTACTGTAGTACTTTATTCTTGAAAGGGATTGTTTTATGTGTAATACCTGATTTTAAGTTGGAGGACATGAGCGAAAGTAAAGGAATTAGCATTTATTGAGGTCCTTTCCAGGTATTGTGCTAAATACTTTATGTATATTAAAACATTTAACACGGTAACTCTGAAGTAGATACTAATTTTTCCTATTCTACAGATGAAAGCTTTGAAGGTCAGAGAAGTTAAGTAATTTAGGTAAGGTCATCCAGCTCCTGTTGGAACCGGCCTTAGAACCCAAAGTTTCTGCCATTTTAAGAATTATTGCTCTTCTCTTCTTAGTTGTGTTTTCTTTATTTAATCCATTCATTCAGTGAATACTTATGGAGTGATCAGGTGTCCTAAGACTGGGGATATAGACATGATCGCGACACTGTTTTTGTCCACATGGAATTTATAGTGTAGTGGGGAAGACTAACAAATATCGAACATAAATACTACATGACATTTTATCTGTTGTCTTAATTGAGCAGAAACTGTACTTTACTGAATAGCAAAGGAAGTTCAAATAGAATCAAACAACATCATCCTTGAGTTTACAGTCTAGTAGGGAAACAAAACACGTTTATAAAAACTTAGAATAAACTAAACAACAAATAAATGCCTCACCTGAAGTCAGTATACTTGCACTATGTTACTTTAGGTCTTTACAGACGTTTCTTCACAGAACTACGAGTTAATAACGCACTGAGACTTTTATCTAGGATTGGTACTTAAGAAAAGGCACCGTGAAAAAAAATCTTCATTGCTGTCCAAGACACTATTTGTATTTTATTTATCAATTTTTATAAAGTAGAGACCTTAGAGACAATTAAAAAAAACAACAACCACCCAGTGATAGGCCTTTTACTTTTCTAGTTTTGCTTTTTTTAAAAAAAATTTTTTTTTTAAACAAATGACCGCTTTTATTAGATCATTTGTGTTTTGTAAGCCATCCTGTTTCACTTTACATTTTGGCTGTTGGGAGGCCTAGAACTGGGTCCAATTTTTGTAATTTTCCTTAGCCTCAACTGTGTTATAAATTATACCATATAGTCTGGAATTGCTCTCAATTGACTCCTGGACTATTTCTTTGTTCCCTGTTGCTCTCAGTTTTGTTTTTATCTTTTCCCTTTCATTTGAAAGTAGAGATTGTATCTTATTTTTTTAATTTACAGTATTTTAGCTTAGTGTTTGTTGAATTAATGATAAAATCTTGATGATTTCTGATGTTTGTGTTTTTACATCTGTCAGATTGTTTTTAGAAGTGTGTATGGAAACTTTGTAGAAAATCCATTAAGACTTTTGGCCATGCAAGTAAAGATGACTGACCCTAGTGATAAAGATAATTCCCTATTACTCTCTTTGTTTTAAAATCTCTGTACTTTGCCAGGTATGAATTCAGTGATAATGGAAGAAAACATTGGAAATGGTAAACAATTTAATTAGCTGATTGGGGCTGATTTTACTCTCTTTTTGCTGCAGTAAGTAGGAGGTGGCCCCAGGTCAAAGAGGGGGTCAGATAGGGCCTGCATTAGAAAATGTTGAGGCCCTGCAGTGAAAGAGCAAGGATGAAGACTGATCACAAACAGTACAGTTCTTTTTTTAAAAAAAGATTTTCCAACTCTATAAAACAGACCTAAGTGACAAAAATGGTTCTGACCTAGTGTAGTAGAGTAATTGGGACAGTTCTTGAAAGCAGGCAATAATCCACAATGTGGATAATGGGGATAATCTCCTCCACATAACAAGAATAATGCTGCCCGTCATATGCAAAGATAAGTCTGCTTACTTATCATCATTGATTTTCCAGTGTGAGGAGGAATATATGCTGAGTTGTCCATGAGTTTCTATACTCTGACCAACAAAGCAGCTTGGGGTCAGAATGTGGGTTTGTAGCTATGGAACAGAGACAAGCAGAAAGTTTTAACGTCTATTGATGGGTCAGACACTACATCAGGTACTTTCACTTAATTATCCTTGCAAAACCACTTTGAGGAGGTGGTTATGTGTACAGGATGGTTAGGTAACTTGCCCTGCTTCACGGAGTAAGTGGTGGAGCTTGGATTCAGACACAGGGTTATTTGGACTATGTTCCCATCAATCATTAAAGCTTGATTTTGTTTTTTGTTTTGGTTTGCAGTTCAGTGTCCCCAGCAGAACAAACTAGACATAGTTTGTTTAGCATCAAGAAATAATTTTGTGAAGATTGAATTTACTGAAAGCTGAAAGCTGTTCATGTTCCCTGCTTTATTGTTATTAAAAAATAATTTAAAAAAAAATTAGAATAATACCTAAAAACAATTGTCAGCTTTCCCAGCCTCTGCACATTAGAGGCTAACATTTTCTTTCTTTTAGCTGTTTCATATTTATAAATAACTTGGTTCTCTTGCTATTTCTTGATAAAGCAGTGTTGGACATTATTTAATAACTTTTCTCCACATCTCCACACTGCCTGTACTGTCCTCCCAATATAGTTATTGCAGGTGTTTATTAAGTAAATATTTAGTGTGTTTACAGTATTACAACTTTCAGTATGCACAGCTGAGTCATGTAGTGTATTGTGTCATTTATTCACTCAACCAATTTTTATTTTTCCAGGAGTTATTACCCCACCCCTTCATTTCCTGGGACAGTTGTCCTGGAAGCCTCTATTCTGTTAATGCAGTCTGGACTGGTTACTTTCTAGGCCTACTTTATAGTTGTTATCCTGGAGTTTCTTTTTATGTCATCCTTAAAATTCTCCTTGCCCCTTTCCTATATTGGATTTTTTATTTCCCATATTTTCTTAGCTTTCTGAGAAAGAGTACCTGGGAA